GAGAGAGAGAGAGAGAGAGAGAGAGAGAGAGAGAAAGAGAGAGAAATAGTGTATAGAGCCTCTCAAATCTGTAAGCTCTCTTTCCCTGAGTTGACATGAAGCTAGCCGAATTAATCTTGATTTTTAAATATTGGAATGTATAAGATTAGTCCACACAATGAAAGTACCCCCACCTCCCTCGCTCTCTCGTTTAAACAAAAAAACAAACCCAAAGCAATAAACAGCAACCAAAACAACAAAACAAAACAAAATCCCCCAAACAAACAAGCAAACACATGTGAGGCAGCGTGGTGGAATCAGGCTCTCGTCAAAATAATCAAAGTGAAGAAACTTGCATTTTTCCGCAGGCTTGTGAATTTTTATCAAATTTTTGTTTTTGGGCTCAACACCTTTCATACCAATTAAACAACTCATTTTTGTGTGGATTTTTCTGAAAAACGTTGACTAAATTCACCAAAAAAAGTCAATTTTCAGTTATCACGGACTCTTAAGCTAAGGAATTAACTAATCTTGGCGGCCATTTTCTCACGAATTTTACCTCTGAAAATAGGTGACCCCCACCTCCATCATTCGCATTTATCTCGACTTGTATTCAAGATAAATGGATATTTTTCCATCCATATAAAGACAAGTGAATAAGCTTTAAGATAATATCAATAACTTTATATGCTCGAAAATTGACGAGAGCCTGATTCCACCACGCTGCCTTACATATAACTTTTATAACTTGTGGTTTTTCTTGCCACAGGGAATCTTGCAGAATCTCAATAACAATTAATTAGTCTTTAAAGTAGTGACACTCTCACAAAACAAAACTTTGTTAAACTATATTTTTTTCGCGGAAATATTAAGAAAATTAATTGCAGTGCCTGCTTATAAATGACTATACATCACTGTAAAATTATTTCTAGAGATCGTCATGACCAATTTATTTTAGAATGTTATATCAACCTTTATAATACATACAGTCCGTAACTGTTATTGGGGCTTTTTTTAAGTTGGTTTTTTTTGTTCGTTCGTTTGATCGTTTGTTCGTTTGTTCGTTTGTTTTCTTGTTGTTTTTTTAGGGGGAGGGGG